CAGCATGGCTACACTCATGAACGCTGCCCCCTACAGGCGAACAGGAGCGGTGCCCTGCAGCTCACAGCTACAGTCTGTGATAGTGTGTATTTGAAAGCAGTCGGTGTTCTTTGCTCACAAACACTTGAAGTGTTGAAAGATGTTTGATGATGGACTAAATATAGACTCTGAATAATAAATGGGTGCAGTCTGTCTGTGTTGTGTTTTCAGGAACACAGTGCTGTCCTCCAACCAGTCCCAAACACTAAACCAGTCTGTGTAGAAGCATGCCACTGGAAGTACTGCTGTACTTCTTCCAGTGTCTCACACACTCCTGCTGAACTACACAATGCTGTATGACTCTCACATCAGAGTGGTTTGTTTCGTTTTTACACGTTCACTGTAAATATCTGCTTCATACGTACAATGACTGTTTTCAGCTAATGCACAGCACCATGCATAAAACTGCAGCCTTGAAATGTGCTGAAGCTCTTTGTCACGTCCTGATACCATCAAAGTCTGACTAGTCCTGTTTCATTCAAGCATCACAATGATCTGAAGCAACATGAACGTCTAAAGTAACAGAAGGTCTTTCACCAAACGCAGTTACATGTGCAGTATGTATGCACACGTCTTCAGCAGCTGAAACCAGGGCTTTACATCTTTTAGCCTAAATCCACAGCATGTGGGGGGGTCATTGATTGCTGGGTTTCCTCTGTATCATTGTAGGTCTGCCTACATAAAGGTGACTGTTGCTGTGGTTCAGCGCTGGATAAATAAAATTCAATGGAAACTAATTGCTGTCATGTGACTGGCTGACTGCATATTTGTAGTAACAGGAAGTTGAACAGGTAAATAAGCACTGAGTGCATGTTGTTCACTGGGTGATGATGGTGATGATGGTAAGTGTAGAAGTAAGAGAAAATTACATATTTTAAGAATACACTCAGAGTAATGAAGTAATGAAACAACAGTCTTTGTGTGAGTGTACCTAACACAGTGAGGCGAGCCGAGGCTGACAGCTGGTCTATCTCAGATTTAGCAGTGCAGGTGTACGTCCCCTCGTCACCCTCGTTCACATTGGGGATGGACAGAGACTCATCATCCTTCTTCAACCTAGGAGACAGATACAGAAAGGACTGTCATACGTGTAGCACTGGAGCTAGTCTTTATTCAGATTCATACAAAAACCAAAGAAAGTCATTTCTGGAAGAAGAGTGTTCAGATTTCTGTTCATATGAACTGCCTGTGTGCTGCCAGCATACAAACCATTTGGTCCATACGTTTACTTTTGTGGGTTTACATTTAAAAACAGTCCCAATACAATCCACTGAACATTGTTGGATTTGAAATCAGATAATCCAGATGTGACTGAAGACTTTCAGCTTCAATTCAAAGGGTTCTGAAACTGAGTCTGCTGCACGCACCAGTTAGCTGCAAAATAATAACTCAAGAGTTCCTTAAGGGAGACAAATCTAATATTCTTCAATTGTTATTATAAAATCCTATGGCAATATAAACTTTATTTCTCAATTCTCATTCTAATGAATGTACTTAACTTGAATCAGTTATGTAGAACACGAGTACAGAAAAAAAGGAGAAATGACTGTGGCAGGAATGAGACACAACCACATTCTCTTTATTATAACTCGGCTGCGAGAGCGAGAGAGACAGAGAGAGCGAGAGAGAGCGAGAGAGAGCGAGAGCGAGCGAGAGAGAGAGCGAGAGAGAGCGAGAGAGAGCGAGAGCGAGCGAGACAGAGAGCGAGAGAGAGCGAGAGAGCGAGAGAGCGAGAGAGAAAGCGAGAGAGAGCGAGAGAGAGAGAGAGAGCGAGAGAGAGAGAGAGCGAGAGAGAGAGAGCGAGCGAGACAGAGAGCGAGAGAGAGCGAGAGAGCGAGAGAG